TGGCGGCGGCTATTTAACTGTGTCAAAGAGACTAGTAGAATTGAGACATAATCTCTAGGGTCTCAGATAACTTATGAGGATGAGCATCAACAGCCAGGCTGATGGACTTCACTCATAGTTTGGTAGCTTTCTCCATTGAAATGGTCTAGAGTAGTGAGTACTCCATGGGTTTTATGTACCAGGCTTCAGAGGAAGAACTACCAGAAGAAGTGGTACTATCCCCTCCTGATGATAACTCTGCAGAAAATGAGGATTCTGCCTTTGAGGAATCATCTAATTGGCTTACATTCACCTTTTCAGTTTTATTTATTTTAAGGTCCACTGGGTTACTCCGCAGACGCTCTTGTGCAACATACTCTGAAATCATTGTTTGCTGAGATGGGGATTTTGCCTTCAGCCAGTTTAGAGCTGAAGTGTCTTTCTCCAGGCTTGGGTATTTTTCTTGAGTTTGCCATGCATTCAGGACACTCGATTCAATAAAATCTCTCTGTCCTCCTAGTGTGTGCCTTCGCCTGATGTTTTTTCTTTTGGAGCTCTCTGCAAGGCTTGACTTCTGATTGCCAGTTCCAAGCATATCATCAGCAGATGATTTGAGATGCAGTTTTAATCTGTCTGGAATCTTGAGTTTCCATGTAGGTTCCTGTTTGACAGGTTCACTTCTTGTTGATGTGATTAAGCTGTTGTCCATCTTTCCTTTCTTTATATCCTCTTTGTGTTTTGCATCCCTTAAACTTTCACTTTCCATTTTGTACCTGGCCAACTTTTTCCGAGATAGAGTATCACATTCAATAAGTTTGTATGAATTGAAAAGTCTGCGACTGTCTAACTTTGGTGTTGAAATTCCTCCTGAACAACTTACTTCACTTTCTTCAGAGTTCCTTCTAAGGTTCTTTACCATGTCGTGAGTCTTCTCCCTGAACAACCTATCCACAGAACTTGCTGCAAAATCAGGAAAATCATTTTCACTGTCTGTTTCTACAGGGCGACCTTCACTGATCAGTTCACTACTTTCATCATCGGCCTCTTCTCCTGTACTCTCCGTCACTGAGTGAAGCACTTCAGTACCCAGTACGGTGGAATCGACACCAGCTAAATATGCAGTGGAGGATGTTGTGGAGTAACCTGAAGTGATGGAGCCAACATCAGCAG